TGTATTAACGTTTCTCTGATTATATTTAAAATCGATTTATGGTAAATAGTAATTTACGTAATAATATTAAATTTTTATATCATATCATATTATTCTCTATCTCTATCTATATCTATATATAAGAATGGACGTGTATGTCTTTATATTTAATCTTTCCGCCAAAATTACACATCGCACGTGAATGGTGTTTGTATGTGGTAGTAGCCCCAAGTCTTTATACGTGCACTATGGGGGTTGCGTCTCGATAGCTATAAGGGTGCGGGAGATATGGGGCTGAAAGTGGTTGAAAGTGGTTTTCTATTTCGAATGTTATGTTCGAATTTAATTCGAAAAATATTCGAATTATACTCGAACATAAAATTCGAATATTGGTTCGATTATAGAACGACTTTAAACGTTCCAAAAACGTTAAATACAATTCGACTGGATGTATCTCAAACTTAGTAACAGTTCTCTAATTAGTCTGGACACGGGGGACCTAATTCTTGCATTTTGTGAAAACGGGTAAGATTGGCTATAATGTATTATAATTATCTTAACCATCACTATCGTTACTTTTTGCTCAGCGAAGCAGATCCTTGCAGCTAGATTTTAGATTACTTAGAAAAACAGTTTTATATATATATATATATATANTAAAGTTGTAATTATTTTAATTATTTTTATTTCCAAACTGATTTTAACCAGTTCTATAGTAAGGTAACATTCCAATAGACAATATGCAAAGCTTTTTTTTCAGTTTACAGCAGTATTTATTACACAAAATTTAAGTAAAGCTTAACATGCCGATCTTGCCCCGGTTTTCCCTAATAATTCGTAAGATTTTTATTGTAATAAATTGTTTCAATTTATAAAAATAAACAATGATAGAAAGTTAAATTTAGTTTCTAGTAAACAGTAACATGGAATTAATTAAAATGCTTCAATGTTTTTTTTTCCTTAGTAAAATGTAAATTTTCGATTGTAAATTCGTATCTTCTATTATGAGGACTTATTATATTGGCTTTACAGATAATGCTAGAAAGTTTAACAGAAAAGAATTTTTATTTCATTCCATATACCTGGACACATACATAATTTTGCGTTTCGGACATATTTGTCCCTCCTCAGCAGGTATTTCTGTATATTCTATAAACAATAAAACAAATATTTAAAATTTACAATTAAAATCTCCCGACAAAATTATTTAATAAAATTTTTACAATTTTCCGGTTTTCCTTTATTTTTTAGCTCAAATGGATATTCAAATTTCCAACATACGTACTGTACATAGTAATATACAAGATGTATTAAATTATTTCACAACATATGAAAAATTGTTTTTATTTAAAAATGGAGATAAGTAAAACTCCTATTAAAAACTGAAACTACAATAATTTAGACATGTCTTTTTGGGTGTTAAGTAACATTGAATTATTTCGCTACTTTACTTTGCCTTATCTATATGTATAATCGAGACGAGTTTATGATGATAATAATAATAATAAGCACAGAGCCCAAACTGTTAAAAGTTCAAAGTTGAGATTTGGTACACAGGGTAGGTCACGAAAACGCACACTAAGAAGAGATTTTTCGAAATTGACCACCGTGGGGTAAAAGACAAAATTAAGGTTTCGACAATGGAAGTGTTAATTAACAATGGTAGTGTTAACAATGAAAGCACTAAGTAACAATAGAAGTGTTAAGTTGTCTTGGAAGTTAAAAGGCATGGACACGCGTTAATTATTTGTTAGAAATGCCCCAAACAAAAATTTTGGCAGTAAAAAGAGAGTAGAGTGATCCACGGATGTAAATTTATCAATTTGAGCAGTTCGAGAAGCGAAATAATCTTGTTTTTTCTTCCTCGAGCCCTCGTAATTTCTTTCCGGTCCATAAAGAAATAGGCACAGTAATGAGAAAATGAAGAGCTACAGATTAGGGTACTTCAGAAAAATCATTGGATATTATTGATTAGCATAATTTGTGTCTGTTAACGAGAGCTCGAGAGCTGTAGAGTAACATCTTAAATGCTGAGCGAACACTCTGAACGTTTAAATTGTTTATATTAAATTGACGGTAATTAGTTTCTTATAGTAAATTTTATACAAAATCAAAAAATAAATTCAAAATTTATACGAAAGTAAAGCTGTAAATCAAAGAATGAATCATTCGAAAGTCAAAGGCAAACACTTGAATTTGCATTAGACTACTGTATACCAGATATGTAATATGTTAATAACTTATTTCCCTCTTACAGATAAATTCTAATTAATAACGTAAAATAGTTTAAATAAATTCATTTTCTATTAATTTTCTTTTAAAATGTATTTTCAAACACAGTAAAACGACTTTAAACTGTGGTAAGTGTATGTTTATTGGATATTTTCTAATCTTCTAATAATACAACTGTAGAAGAAAATAATAAAACTGTGGTGAATGATATTAATTTTATTGTATTAAGTTATTGATATATTAAAAGGTGGTGAATGATATTAATTTTATTGTATTAAGTTATTGATATATTAAAAGATTCAAAATTAAATTATTTTTAGTGTTTTACATTATCCAATCTGTCATTGTATATTACGACATTATTTGTGTAAAGTTTCGAAATGCTTCGAAAGCTTTTGCGTAAAATTTCATAATGTTTCGAAACTTTTACGTAAAAAATTTAACACAAATAAGAATATTTCGAAAAGTACATTTAGATATTTTATACAGCAGAAGTTTGTTAATCCGGAACTTTTTAAAGAATTGCCGATTGTATGGTATCAGGAACATTATCACCTTTTTTCGAATTGGCATTTAGCGGTATGTTATGCGTTAAACTTAAGGCTAGAAATGTAATTATATATATATTTTTTCGAAAATAAATAGTTTATTTTGAATGAATCGCTTTTCCTCGTTTATGCGAATACTCGTGTTCAAGTTATCGAATCGCGAATCCTCGCGAGTATTTTATGCGATCCTGGCGTATGATAGTTTTCTAACAAATGTAACGAATCGTCGCGATTATTCCTATAATTACAGAATTCCATCTTTTTTAATACCTAATTGCACGGACTTTTTTATGTGGAGATTCGTGTTATTTAATATTGGGGGTAAAAGATCGAGAAGGAAAAAGAGTGAAAGGAAATGTATCGTATTTGTAAGAATTTTCTCGTAATTATTATTCAAATGTGTTTATGAAACTCTTATCTATTCTTGATATTATATGTCTTGCCATTATACAGGGTGTATTTTTGTATCTTGAGGCAATGAAATAACATAATTGGATTTTATTATTTTGGAAAAATGTTTAGACAAAACATGTAGGGTGTCGAGAGGGCCAATCAATTGGTTACCTCAGATGTTCCCCATTAAAAAAGCTTATAATTTTAATGTTAAAATCATCTTGACTTTTGACCTAGACAATAGGGTCAAAAGTACAGTACATCTGGTTTTGAAATTTCCTGCTTTTTCCATTTCCGGGATGAAAAATATGTGTTCCCATTGAACAAAAAAGACTTGATATCCAAATGACCTTGAAGGTCAGGTCACGGTCACACCTGAAGTCACCAATTGATTGGCCCTTGACAACCTACAACTTTTTTCTATACCTTTTCCAAAAATAAAGAGATTCAATTAAGTTATTTCATTGTGTCAATATAAAAAATACATCCTGTATAATAATTAATAATAGAATTTTTTAAATAAAATGTCGTAAGAGATAAATGACGAGCAATTTTAAATGTTTATGCTGAGATATTCGATGCTCATATCTATTGAGTTTGCATATTATCTATTCTTTCATAGTTCGTTTGATCTTGACTTTTTAATTCTTCAGGCATTTGCTTTTTCACTAGACATTTTTTCCTGTCCATAGTTTAGTATGTACCACAGAGTAAATGATACATCATATTTCTGCAACTCTGTAGTTGACTGTTTCCTTTTTGACAAAATACATGACAGCGTTGATTTTTACATAGGTCCCATTGCCTCAAAGGTGGCAGTTCTTCTCAATAAACCTGCCTTGTCGCATTTACTACATAATATCTTCAGCAGTTCCTGAGGGTATGCTCATGCACACAATATCTGCAACCTTGCTTAATAACACCATTTGGTAATACTCAGTTATTGTTTTGAAAACTATAGAAGTGACTTTGAAGTAAGCTCTAATTATATGTGAATAAAAAAACGAAATTATAACTTGATACTTTGTTTCTGTTTGTTTAATGCGTTTTGTGTTATATTACAATGCTACAGTAGCAATACTGTGGTATTGATTTATGACATTCGTGAAAATAATTGCAACAGTTTCATTAGCATAAAAAGTAGACATAATATGAAAAAGTAAGCTTAATATAAATGTAAGAGAAGAAGCAGAAAAAAACTAGGTTGGGTTGACACAGCATTTTGCAAGAAGTTGTTATATTGTCTAACAATATATTTATATATTTTTGTTTGCAAAGATTTACGATTAAGGTGATGTATATCGCTGTATATTCTTAGTAAAATATTAAATTATTCATTATAAATGCTTAAGCATCCCTTCGCACTAAGATAATTATTTTTATATACTTTTTTATTTATAGAAGTTGCGTTTATCACATCCATTAAGTCGTCACATTTCATCGTTTGACAGAAACTTGGAATAGAATATGAAATAAAGGATGTATCTAAGAATAATGTTAATTGTTTATGTTTTTATCTGTATCATTATGTTATGGATAAGGTAAGTGACGTTACTTTCGATTGTACTGAAATTATTCACAATATTTATATTATAACTATATAACTAAGAATTAGTAATAAAAGACTACAATTATAAATCCACAAATACATTNATTAGTGTTGGCAAATATCCTGAGATCATTCAAATTAGAAAAATATGGAGATGATGTAAGTAATAAAATATTACATTATTAAAGCAACTGAAATTTTTCGAACGTTTAGACAGAATAAATTCAGTTTCTAAGGATTAGCCACATTATTCAATAATAAAGATATATTAAATTGCTTATATTCGCTCTTGGAATTACATAACATTTTATATTTTAGATGAGTACTGTAATGTCTTCACCGATAAAAGTCTTTCTAACAAACGTCGAGAAGCATGGAGATCAACCGTTTGATATTTCGGAGATGTGTAAAAAATTGGTGTTTGATATTGTCTGTTCATCAGCATTCGGTGTATCCACAAATGTTCAAAATAATGAAACTAGCAAATTTGTTGAATCTGCTNAGCATGGAGATCAACCGTTTGATATTTCGGAGATGTGTAAAAAATTGGTGTTTGATATTGTCTGTTCATCAGCATTCGGTGTATCCACAAATGTTCAAAATAATGAAACTAGTAAATTTGTTGAATCCGCTAACGCTGCACTTTCAGCTGATTCTGCTGATATTTTAGCTGCAATAACAAGTGATGTTGCAATACATTTTCATTTAATATATTATTATGAGTTAAACTTATAATAATACTTAATTTGTGTTTAATTTTTTAAATAACTTAGTTTGCTTTCCGGAAATGGGACCAATATATACGTTTCTTCGATGTAAAATAGATAGTTTAAAGTACATGCTAAATCTACCTTCTGTGACGTTCATTTATGAAACGTGTCAAAAAATCGTCACCTCCAGGAAGAAATTAGAAGTAAATTTATTGTCAATAGTTTAATATGAAATATTTTAATATTTACATAATTTTATATTTCAGTCTCCTCCACCAGATTTGCTGCAGACATTGATCGATGCCGAAGATGAGACTCTTGTAGAAATGAAAAAACTTCCAGATAATTTTGTTATTGCAAATGCGATGTTGTTTATGGCGGCTGCGTAATAATATTTATAAGTTTTTGTATGTTCCTTATGAAATAACAAAAATTTAATGTCGAATTTTTGCTCTTTTCTAGATATCAAGGAACAAGTTCTACAATAGGATTGTGTATTAAACATCTCGCTCGTAATCCTGACATACAAGANTATTTTTATTATTATACGCTATGTGTTCTATGCATTACACAAAATAAAGTACATAAAATTCGATTGTTTATAGTAAGCTTACGTAACGAGTAGCTGTACTCAGTTAAATTAACATTGACTTATTATATGTAAATATTTTTGTAAGTGAATTAGCATAAATTAAAGTAAAACTATTTTAGTTGAACTAAGTCAACAAATGTCACAAAATAAACCATTGGTGGAATGTGCCCTATATACTCCAGGTTATTCGAAAACTTTTGGTAATATTATTTATAAATATTACCTGTTCAGACTAAAATCCTGATTCATTTTAATATATTTAGAACACAATATTATTGTTTCGATACACAACTTAAAGACATTTTAGAACTGCTTCATATTGTGAAATGACCTGTACTTTATCTAAACTATATTATTGTTACTCTATTTCAATTTTGAATTATTTTCTATAATGCATGTTTCAAATGTATTCTGCCCATACTATGTATAAGAGTTTACGATTTTTCGAATTTGATTGAGTTTACAGGATAAGGTGACCCGAGAGATGAGCTAGCTGCCAAATAGAAGTAAACTTTTATAAAAACTGGCGCCTCTTTAGGCATTAGACACGTACGACACAACCAAAAACTCCACGTAGCCAATCGTAAGAAAATAATAATGTGGTATAAATTTAAATTTTCTTATTCCTGAGGCATTTATCATCATCTTTAGGTTCGTCTGAACACAAAAAATAAGATGATAAAGGTAATAAACATTGGGTTATTTAAACGATAGACACTTATCACTTGAAATTTATTACAATTTAATATATATTCGTATATTTTCGTACACATACCCTAAATTTGTGTTGAATATAAATAAATAGGTGTATATCTCCATTTTTGCTTTATTTTCTCTAAATAAGTCAGATAATTGTGTAAGTATAATACACTACTCTACAATAATGAACCGGACAAGTTCGGTGGTGGTGGTGGTGGTAATGGTGGTGTTCTTCTTTGGGGGTATTTTTCGTTGTATGGCCCGGGTCCTTTGCATGCTGTTCCTGGTAAATTGAATGCCTACGCCTACATGAACGTTTTGGACAATCAGGTTTACTTCTTACGCTTTGGCAATTTTATGGAATGGACAAATGTTACTTCCAGAAAGACAATGCTCCAAGTCATGTTGCAGCTTCTGTCAAGCAGTGGTATCAAGATACGGAAGTCAATCATCTTCCCCTGTTTGCTCAGAGACCGACCTAAACAAATAGAACATTTGTGGGACGAGTTAGAGCAACGCTTAAGGACCAGGGAACCACGTCCAAAATCTACAACTGAGCTAACGACATTATTGAGGCGGGAATGGACACAAATGCCCATAGTTGTTTAACAAAATCTTGTTGAAAATATGCCCAGAAGGGTTGCTAGTATAATTGCAGCACGTAGGGTCTTCTTCCTATTAAAGCATGTATTCTTTATTTTATGCCGTCACTTTTTGCTGTCCGGTCCATTGTTGTAGAGAAGTGTATAATATCTACGAATAGTTAGAAAATCTATAACATTGCAATTAATGGGACATTACTTGCAATGTTCAATACAAATCTATAACATTGCAAGATGGTTACTGGCAAGGTTTTTATCTTGCCAATAACACTTTTTGGCTAATTAATAAATACTTTCGGTAGGTTTATTTAGCAAATTTACAACCCAAACGCTCTTTATTTCTTGCAATTGGCTACGTAAGATACTGAATAATCTTTCGGAAAATCCAATGAAATTTATCTTGATTTACATTTTACAAACAACACTAAATCAATTTTAGAAATGTCAATATAAATTAAATTATTTCGCTTTTTTGTATATGATATTCAACAGCCAAAACTAATAAAATCAAATTTATTGGCTATAAAATCATTGTGTGGTAAATTGTCATATGTTGACGTATTACTAATTATACTTAAAATTGGTTTATAGTAAATCTATAACATTACATAATTAAAAAAAATCTAACCTTTATATTATATATTCCTCTAAAGTTAATAAATGTANACGCTCTTTACCTCTTGCAATTGGCTACGTAAGATACTAAATAACCTTTTGGAAAATCCAATGAAATTTATCTTGATTTACATTTTACAAGCAATACTAAATCAATTTTAGAAATGTCAATCTAACTTAAATTATTCCGCTTTTTTGTATATGATATTCAACAGCCAAAAACTAATAAAATCAAGTTTATTGGCTATAAAATCGTTGTGTGGTAAATTGTCATATGTTGACGTATTACTAATTATACTTAAAATTGGTTTATAGTAAATCTATAACATTACATAATTAAAAAAAATCTAACCTTTATATTATATATTCCTCTAAAGTTAATAAATGTAATTTTATAGAATATAGCTGCAATGACCCGCTTCGCTGGGTTTTTAAAAACTAACGATAGTGAAAATTATTAAAATTACATTATAGCTAATCTTACCCGTTTTCACAGAATGGAAGAATTAGGCCCCCGTTTCCAGTCTAATTAGAGACCTGGTCCCGATTCGATTTCTGAACGTCTCCTGTTCACGTCAAGTCAAACGAACTCTTTTCAACGTTTCTGGAACGTTTACAATCGTTCTATAATTGAACCAATATTCGAATTTTATGTTCGAATTTAGTTCGAACAAATTCGAATAAATTCGAACATTGTTCAAATTAAATTCGAACAAAACATTCGAAATAGAAAGCCACTCTCAACCACTTTCAAGCCCATATCTCCCGCACCCTTATAGCTATCGAGACGCAACCACTTCTATGCACGAATGGAGACTTGGGGCTACCACCACATAGAAACACCATTCATGTGCGATGTGTAGTTTTTGCGGAAAAGTGAAATATTGGGACACACACGCGGCCATTTTTATATATATATATATATATAGATAGATATAGATATAGATATTGATAACATTGTCATGTGATTCGATAAGACACAACTAATAATTTGTAAGCTTTTTATCGTAATAAATCGTTCTAATTTCTACAAAAAAACGTGGATAAAAAGTTAAAATTTAGCTTTTAGTAACCAGTAACATGTATTTCGTAAAGACAGAGAAAACAAAAGATGTCATTGTTTCAACGTTACGGGATTCCTGGCCCAAAACCAAACTTTTTCTTCGGAAATTTAATTGAATTCAATAAAGAGGTGAGAATTTTTTCTTTAAAATAAAGTCGCATAAGAGAATTAAAAATGTTAAATACAATTTTATATATTACCTTTTTATGTAGAGAGATAAATGCATAGAAAAATGGATAAAACAATACGGAAAAATGTTTGGGTAATCAATTTGTTTCATTTAATCATTATTAAATTTAATAAATATCACTTTACATAAAAAATGTTTATTTGTAATTTTATAAAATTTATAAATAATTTACCTTATGTCTAGGTTTTATCTAGGAGCTAAACCGTATTTCGTATGCATTGACGTTGAATTTTTGAAACTCATTCAAATAAAGGACAGTTACAATTTTTGCAATAGAGATGTACGTATTCTGCTGTAATTTTCACTTATTACAAATCCCGAAAAGCTTAAAATTTATTTATTTTTTTATTCACTTATTTGGACGAAAGTCGCTGTTACCAGGTTGTGGATTTCCGCATGATCAATCTAAAAATATGCTTGCAGTATTAACCGATCAGAAATGGAAAAACTTAAGAAGTATTCTCACTTCTTGTTTCAGTACTGGTAGAGTTAAAATGGTAATGTGTTATAACTTGAGATTTTAAAAATATATATACCTTTTGAAGTTATATCAGTAGTTACACTTTAGATGAGTACTGTAATGTCTTCACCGATAAAAGTTTTTCTAACAAATGTGGAGAAGCATGAAGGTCAACCGTTTGACATTTCGGAGATGTGTAAAAAATTGGTGTTTGATATTGTCTGTACATCAGCATTCGGTGTATCCACAAATGTTCAAAATAATGAAACTAGCAAATTTGTTGAATCTGCTAACGCTGCATTTTCAGCTGATTCTGCTGATATTTTAGCTGCAATAACAAGTGATGTTGCATTTCATTTTTATTTAATATATTATCATGAGTTAAACCTGATATAATAATACATGATTGATTATTATTTTCCATATAATTTAGTTTGCTTTCCGGAAATAGAGCCAATATGTACGTTTCTTCGACATAAAATAGATGGTTTAAAGTACGTGCTGAAGCTACCTTCTCTGACTTTCATTTATGAAACCTGTCAAAAAATCGTCACCTCCAGAAAAAAATTACACGTGAGTTCAATGTCAATAGTTCAATATTACTATTTTAATATTTATATAATTTTATATTTCAGTCTCCTCCACCAGATTTACTGCAGACGTTGATAGATGCGGAAGATAAGACTCCTATAAAAATAAATAAACTTCCAGATAATTTTGTTATTGCAAATGCGATGTTGTTTATGGCGGCTGCGTAATAATATTTATAAGTTTACGTATGTTCCCTGTTAAATATAAAAAATTTAATGTGAGGATTTTGCACTTTTGTAGATATGAAGCAACAAGTTCTACAATAGGATTGTGTATTAAACATCTCGCTGGTAATCCTGAAATACAAGAGTTTATTCGTGAAGAAATAAGAAGCAACGTTTCTGAAGATGTAAAATTTAATTTTTCAGTTAAAATATATATATCTTAGAAAGATAAAATAATAATTTATCTGTTATTGTTAAAGAATAGAAATTCGATATATCATATAATTATTATATACTATATAAATTATTAATAATAATTAATAAAATTTAACATAACATAACGTTTATTGAAATAAACGTTAACGTAGTCTTGTTAACGTATTCTTTATATTCGAAGCCTTTACAGCAAAAGTTAATAATAACCACAAAGTCATATAATAACTTTTTTCTAAAAAGTTTTTTCAAATTTCAGTTTGTAATGATCTGTTGTGAATGATTCAACATAAACTGCAGTAAAAACAGAAATTTGAAAATTTTTCAAGAAAGATAAATCATAATTATATCATTTTCATTAATTTTCAGGTTGATATCCAGTATTCTGACTTGACTAATTTCCAGTTGCTAGATCAAGTTATCTCTGAAACTCTTCGCTTTCTTCCAATCCCCTTAATGTAAAATTTATTACAAACTTATCAAGTTAAATATAAAATATAATAAATATATTATCTATAAATATTTTTAATACGTAGAAGTGTAAATCGCATATGCGCGGAAGATTATTGTTATAAAGACATCACTATTCCTAAAGGTTGTATTATAACGATTCCAATACAATTTTTGCAAAATGATCCAGCTTATTGGATTGAACCTGATAAGTTCAATCCCTACAGGTAAATAAATTATAATTATAGTTTAATTATATTTACATCTGTTTTATTACGAAGTTTTCAAATTGCTATTATTGAAAATTATTCGTGGATTCAGGTTTTCATTTCAGGATAAGCAAAAAATTGATTCTATCACTTACCAGCCATTCGGAGTAGGGCAAAGAATATGTATCGGACAGAGGTTAGGAAAAACTATAATAAAATTAGTACTGGCAAATCTGATACGATCATTTAAATTAGAAGAGTGCGGAGACGATGTAAGCAATACCAATTTTTATATTGTAAATATATTGCGGGAAATACCTTACATTTAAATATAACGTTTGTTTGTTTAATCGAATACTTTACTTTTGTAAGTAAAAATTGGATAAAATTAAATCTGTGAATGTTTTCGTGAATTATAGTTGCAATATTTTTTATTTGTATATTGTTTGCAGCAGTGACATTGATTTTATTTACAGGAAAATGAAAGAGTAATCTCCTTATATTCGAGTAATCCTAAGAATAAAATAATGGTGAAAGCGGCACTATTAACTTCGTAATTGGAGACAATGCTTTATGTTTTCAATGCTAAACAAGAATAATTATTAACGTAGTATATGAATTCAATTGTATTTAATTTAAACAAGTGCTGGCTATTAAATTTGCTACAGCAGAAAAGAAAGCAAATAGAAGAATCGTATGTATTGTTTACATACAGTGTAACAAAATGGAGACGTGATTTAATTGACAGGTAATCTTCAGGGACAGTGCACTTAGCATGTTGTACGGGTTTAATGCAGGTTTCGTGTTTGTTGAGTACCACCTTAATGGCGTAGCAGTTTTAATAGCAAGCAGTGTACATTGCTTGAAAAGTTAATTGTTGTCAGTGATGCTTAACTTGAACAATAAAGATTAATGTTAAGAAGAATTGAATAATTCGTCGTGTTTAAAGTGTGTTCAATTATAGGTTAAGATTAGAAAAATTTTAGGATACCCTTGGATTTTATATATGATCTGCTGATTGCTATTGTTTAAGTCGTGCAGGATGTTGTATACGATGTTCTACATTTCCGGGTTTGAGTGCGAACACTGAGGACATCCCCTGTGTATATTTTGAGTGATGCTGGTGGTATTATAAACACGAGCAGCCGTCCTATACTTAAGGAAGTTTTTAGTAATTATGTAAAGGATTTTTGGACACTCATTAATTTCTAATTGCTTTAATAGAACTGGTCACCAAAGGGTATTCAATGCGTTTTTGAAGTTAATCGATATCATAAGGAGTTGTTGTTCCTTTTTCCAGAATTTTCAATGTAATTAATGACTACATGTATATTGTGATAGGTTAATTTTCCGCTAGTGAAGCCGTACTGATTTGGGTGATAAAAGTTTTTCTTGTTTAAATGGTGGTTGATCCTAGCTATCAGTAGCTCATCAAGAACTATGTTTGGCACTGAAAGAAGGCTGATAGGTCTTAGCTGATCAGCTTTAGTAAGAATAGATACACCTGCTTTTGAAATAAATTTGATTTCAGGTATCTTCCATTTGGTAGAAAATTTGTCTGTTTCAAGCATTTGTTGTATATGTATACTATGTATACCAGAGCGGCTTTGAAGGGTATGTTTTAACATTTTGGGAATAATCCCGTCTAATCCGGGAGCTTTGGTGTTTTTGAAACATTTAATTGCCTTAGAAATGTCAATAAAAGAAAATGAGTATCGTTTTCTGTTTTTGGGTTGTTACCAACCTGATTACGAATATTTTGTTGCTCTTTAGTGTAGGTGTTAGAGTCGTCTTTGGGAAATGAATGCGTTTCCGTTAGTGATTTCAATGTGTTTTCTAGGAGTTAGTATTCTCTAATTTTAATTTGAATGGTGGGGGTATTTTAGTTTTTTCTGGGTTTACAAATGATATGATAGGAATCTGTCCATGCTAACATTTTACCCATTTTTGTGCAATATTCTCTCTACTTCAAGGTACTGGTCTTGTTAATTTCGATCTTGTAATTATTCAGCTGCCTAACATATTGTATTTTTGTTTCTTTTTTAATCTCTGGATTATTCTTTCTTAAATTTCTTTAGGACAGCCTTACTTTTCTCCGTGTGATAACCAAATTTTCAGTCACCCAGGCAGTATGTTTACTCTGTATGGTAATAGTGTTTGTGGCAAGATTATGAGCAGTTTAATGGTATTAGTTAAAATGTCTACCAGGTCATGAGGTTCATCTTCATTATAAGGATTGGTTTGCATCCATATTTAGCTGAATTTTTTTCAAAAATAGTATAATCTGTAATCTTATTTTGAATGTCTGAATCGGGTTCCGTGTTTATGTTGTTAAGTATCCAGAAAATGGTTACTTGTGCTATCTTCTTCTGAATTGGCACAATAGGAAACAAGATGTTGGGCATAGTTGTCGACTATGCACAGATCAATCTACCTAACACCATGATCTGTAAAGAATGTGGTAAGTTGCAGGAGAATAAGTTATTCTTCTCTAGAAATTCGGCCCTTTCATATCCTCTTGGGTCATCTCGAGGACTATGCCAAATATCATTTTTTGCGTTGAATTCTCTGCCCACGATCCATGGAGTGTAACCTATATTCCTTTTGATGTTTTCCAATTCTTTGATAATATTTTGTAGATTCCCATCTGGTGTACAGTATACTGAAGATAGGAGGATGTTACTTGGATCATTGGAGATTATAATCGTATTTTAATCGTAGTAACAGAGTAACATTTGAACTGTATTGAGGAAGAAACTGAATTTTTATTTTATCGTTGCAGACGATAATTCCTGTTTTAGTTGGCGAAGTAAACTTAGAATAAGGAAAGATCTTTCAAATCGGACGCTGCCATCATTAATGACATATGGTTCTTAAATTAACACAATGTCGGTTTGGCAATCCTCAGCAGTCTTCTGTAGAAGTGAAGATGCAGCCTTGCTTTTCTGAGCATTCAGTTGTAAGATATTTATGGGGCCAGTGTACGATTAAGTAGGTTTATCCTGAAAATTGCAGTTAATAGAGTGGTTGAAAGTATGCTTGTGATTAAATGCCATAATTTGTTTTTTCAATTGTTGGGCTTTTCAGCCACTGAGTTATGATGCATATTTGACTGAAGGCATTGTGTCCTGATTGTACCTGCTTACTTGTTGGTTGCTGCTTGTTATATTCTTGACAATTAGTTCATACAGGCGAGTTGTGTCGTGTTTTTCAATTTTTGTAGCTGTGTTGTCTGAAGAAGTGGCTGCACTTTAGGTGTTTAGTTTACTCACAAGCATAATGTCCATACCCAAAACACTTGAAACATCAAGTGAGAAGAATGAAGTCACCCACCCTAACTTTGTACCAGTTAAGGGAAAGATGATTTCTTGTTATTGTTATGTTGCATATATTGGCTGAAACTGTTAATATTATGTGATTGCAGTTTTCTTTCACTTCCCTTTTTCAATTATTAAGGATTCTTTACACTATTTCATTGACTTCTGCCAATGGGTTTTAAAATACTATTTTGTTTATATATGGCTTCGGTAATGTCTTCTTCTTTAATGGAGTTTCGGGCATTAAGGATAATAATACGAGGCTTTTTATCTCATGAAATAGTTCCCTGTCAATTCTGGAATATCGCGTATTGCATTGGTAAGGTGTCTCAATTTCTCTTGTCTCCCATCTCCCACACAAACACACATTCCATTTCCTTTCACTGTTTGCATTGATTTCATATTAATTTTCAATTTTTGTGGTTTTATGTTTTGGAAGATAGTACTAGCAACTTTTTTCATGTTAACAGTTGTCCATTGTCCATTCCTTCATTGTCTTGGGATTAACTAACTGCCTCCATGTCCCTTTTTGTCAATTTGCTTATTCAAAGAATTGTTAATGGTTATTGTGGTTTCGCTAGGTTTGACATTTGATTTTAAGGCTTCTGAGTAAGCCATTCTTTGTGTTTCATTGGGAAAATATATTAAATGTGACATTTCTTTTTTTGGCTCTTACTTAACGTATAATGCCCATAATTTGATTGATAAAAACAAAATGACCTACCAGTGGTTAAGCGGTCTTTGTACTATGAACGCTGTGAGTATGGTTGTGGGTTCATGCCTCGCTCAGACAGGCTGGCCAGGTCAAGATTTCGAGTTTTCTCTACATTTGTAATGCCTAAATAAGGGCCAGTTTCCTTTAAAAAACCTCCCAGAAGGCTCCCCCTAGGCAGATTGCCCAAGTGTTGCATTACCATAACTTATCAAACAGATCCAGATACAACCAAAAAGTTTGGTAGCTCTGTCTCTGGCTTCCACCCTATCTTATTTGTTAATTATTAATAGTGAAATTGCATGACTCTGGAAGAAGATCAAGAATCTTTCTCAGATAAAGGCCAGTGTCCTGCATGATAAGATCTTCCGGGGAGCCAAGAACAAAGAAAGGTTGTGATAATGCACCTCCTGGGACTAGGGATTGTATACCGGTTTACCGATTTACCGGTTGACCGATAAATTGACAAAAAACATTCGGTAAACTTACCGGTAAATTTCAAAAATTTACCGGTAATTCGGTAAATGAAAAATCTATACTAGAAATTTCTATGTAGAAAATATTGTGTTTATAGATATTTAAATAAGCTAAAAGGACATTGGAAAAGAACAGGTAAGTGTAAGCAACAATCTACCTCATTATTAGTTTTATGTGAGATAGTTTTTGTTTAATTTTAATTTAATGCCCATTCGTCAAACAAGTGTTAAATCAGAAAGGGTATTCTCGGGATCTGAATTATTTTGTACAAAAATTAGATGAAAATTAGGAGATAAGACTATAAATAATTTAAGCTTTTTGAGAAGTTAATTTTAAAAAATGGTAATCCATAAAATAGTATTACGTACAATATATTATTTCTGTTGTACAGGTATACCTCGACTTACGTCGTTTCGAGTTACGTCGTTCCCGATTATACGTTGTTTGTCAAAAAAATATATGGAAAAATAAAAATTAAGTTTAAGTCATTTTATTCGACTTTACGTCTGTCTGCCACAAATATTGAAGTCGTAATATCACTAGAAATATGTTTAAAGCACATAAAATCATATTATAATATATACATTTACAAGTATATACTGTATTTACAGTACTGTACATGCATTCATAAATTTAAATTACTTTTTTCTGTACTATATTAAAAACTAAAATTTATTTGTAAGCTTAAAATAGATCCTTATAAACCATATATTATTAAAAATGCATTAATAAATAAAATACAGAACGGGAATTGGTAATTTATGGTTTAGCCTAGTGGCAAGTAGATTCGGAGACAAGTAAATTCGACTTCCGTGACTTAAGTCGTTCTCCTGGAACCAATTACTGACGTAAGGCGAGGTATATCTGTATTTTTATTTTTCTGTATTATTTTATTTCTGCTTATTTTTATATTTATTATTATAGTTTGTTTAGAATAACACTTTAATTTATATATTTTTTATATTTATTATCTTTGTGAAATGGAAATCATAATGACTTATATTTTTTATCACCTTAATTTTATTTTTCAAGAAAAAAATTTACCGGTAATTTACCGGTAAACCGGTATTTTAATTTTCATTTACCGAATTATCGGTAAATGAAAAAGTCGGTAAATTTACAATCCCTACCTGGGACACAGCTTGCAGACCATCAGGAAGTGCCATAATAAACATAAGCACAGCACACCGAAAAAGGGTATCAGAAAAAAAAATAACCAATCTATAGACAGGGGTAAAGTGGTGACATGTGCATACAACTTTCCTGTCCAGTGCCTCTTTAAAATAACTGTAATAAAGC